ATATCTGTTCAAACAGGTATGTGGATCCAAATGCTGAAAGCATTGCGAACGCAATTTTCTTCAAACAGTTAAATTTCACTGGCAGGGACATCCAGCAGGTCAGAATAGAGGCCCCATGATCACTGTCAGTAGCTTTAAGTGCACTCCGCAGATCTCGAAACTTTGATGCCCACAATTCTGAGCTTTTTAACTGAATGAGCTGCATTTTGAAATTTTCAACACCCATCCACTGAAATACAGACAAATCCAAGACACTTTAGTTGAACTTTTCAGGTTCAATTAGAAAAGAAAGCATTGGGCCAAATCACTGGAAATCTTCAAATCTGTCAGAAAATTCTGATCCAGTTCTTGCATGTACATTCTAATCTCAGCATCAAACGCAGCGTGCTGGTCCACGTGATGTGAGAGTGATGTAAGCAGCAAATCAGGACTTAAAATATCCCGGTACAGTGGCGCTGGAACAATTTTTAAGGTGGGGTGCTGAGCTGCGCCCCCTCTTGCCCCGTCGGCATCCCTCACTGCCCCAGGCTGGGGCCAGTGGGCCACAGCTCGGGGTGGCTGCAGAGCCCCGGGCCAGCGGCCAGGACCCGAGGCCAACAGCAGAGTCCCCTGGACTAGTGGCCAGGACCCAGGACCAGCAGCGGGCTGAGCGGGGCCGGCAGATGGAACCCCAGCTGGCAGGGGGCCAGTGGCCGGTACCCCAGGCCAGCAGCGGAGCCCCCGGGACCGATGGCCGGGCTGAGCAGGGCCAGCAGCGGGCTGAGGGGGGCCAGCGGACGGAACCCCAGGCCAGCAGCAGAGCCCCTGGGACTGGTGGCCAGGAGCCGGGCAGTGTGAGTGCCACTGAAAATCAGCTTGTGTGCCGCCTGCCTACTCTTACTCTATGTAGTCCAGCCACTGGAAGATAAAGAACCATTCCGTGTTAGTGTGGGTGATGCACAATAAAAAATAAATTGCTGTACTGCTCAAAGCCTCGGTCCTTCATCTAATTATCTCCTTTTTCTTTCTTCCTGCCTCTTTTCCTTTACTTTTCAGTTTTTGATTTGATTCACTTTTCTTTCCTCTTTCTCTGTTTAACTCTCCCATCCTCCCACACGCTCATCTAATGCACTTACTTCACCTCCTCACTTTAGAGTATCAGGAGGGGAGAGATGATGAAGCCATTTTGTTGCCCCAGGAATGTGACTTGTCCTGCCTTTTCTCCCAGGAAGGGGATGGGAAGCCACCAAAGGAATCTGAAGAGGGGTGTCTTTGTTGCGTCTGATTCCAGCCCCTGCTCACTGCAAGGAATGAGGGGTTTGTGACATTAGTTAATGTTTGTGCAGTGCTTTACTCAGGCTACTGGAATTCCTGGAACCCAGCAGATTGCACAGGCAGCTAACACAGAGAACTACAGCTTGGGCTTGTCAGAGGGCAGAAGCAAACCTGCCTACTGTGCTATCTTCACAATGCTGGCTGCCCAAGGGGTGAAGCGAGGGTAAGTACAGTAGTTACTCACTGACAGAGACAGCTGGACCAGGCTCCCAATGACTATCCCCCAAACCTAGCACACAGCTCCAGTGGCCCATCCCCCCTTGAGACACTACTTGTGGGAGGAGATCCCCCACACTCTGGTTGTGGGGGAGAAGGGAGAGAAAGTGAGTCAGAGTGGTTTTCACCCTGTCCACACCCACACCTTCAACAGTCAGCAGTCCCTCTCCTTCATGGGCTAACCGACTTCTGTTACCAGATAAGGAGCTAGCAGGCAGTATTACAGATTCAATTCCTACTGCTGATGTGTGATGGGTTGTTACATTTGTACACAATAGCATTTGGTTTTGTTTTTTTCAAAAACTAGAAGATTAACTAGAAGCAAACAACATTGAAAGAACATTATTTAGGTTGCAAAGTGCTATTGGAGCACTTGAAAGTTAGGAAACGCCAGATTTAGGGTAGCCCATGCAACCTTAATTTGCCTTCTTTGTGTGTATGTGTTTTTAATTACTTGACCACATATTGTTTTTCCTATGAGACCTCTGCCTCATTCAGTGCACAAGTTGGGTGCACAAGTGAACAGAATTAAAGTTGCACAGGCAACCAACTTTCAAGTACTTGACTTTGCTCACGTACTGGATTGCACCTCCTGCTCCCACCTACAGCTAGGAGCTTGGGAGTGTCCTCATGTCAACATGAGATCATTTGAAATAATTTATTTCTGTGGAATTGGAAGGAGGCACCTTCTTAGAACACAAGCCTCTAATGACTGTATACAGAACAAAAACACAAGAGCAGACTTGATACGTGGATAAATATATTAGTAAATAAATATATTTCTGAGCACATCACCGTATTCAAACATCTTTGTTTCCATCTCAGACATAAATATACAGATTTGCATATATAAAAAACCTATTCTTCCTTTTTGGTTTGTAATTTACCCAAAACACCCAAGAGCCTTGCAGAACAGACTCAGCAAAAACTAAAAACCATGTTCACATTTCAAAAGGATCTGAGCTTTACAAGACGAAGGAACAGAGGGTTCTTTGCATGAATGAAGGAGGCTACAGACACAACTCTGGGAGCTGTGCCCGCTTTGGGCTCCTCTCAGTGACACTGGCTGTCCTGGGAAGAGGATATAACTCAGCTGCCTGTGAGCTCTGGGAAAGTGCTGAGGGTTCGGTAATGAGTAATGCTCATTTGAGAAGCTCTGGCGTTCACTTCTACTCCCAGCGGGGTCCTCCACTCTCTTAGGGCAAGGAAAGAGAGCTTAAAAACTGAACCCCTGCCTTGGACAAATACTACAAACATTCAATGCTTGATCCTGAGAGCTGCTGAGCACCTGTACATCTCCTTGAAGTTACAAGTCCCTTTGGAGTTGCAAGTGTTCAGCACGTCAGGATTATTTTTCATTGATTCCAAGGCCAAGGAATCTATTCCTCCTCCTATTTAATGGTCCCTTGGAATAACTCTTCCAGGCAGAGCTCTTCCCCTTCTTCCCATCTGATAACCTATATGGACAGAACTGCAAACCCTCCCCCATCTAAACTACTCCCTAGATGTGCTCTCCATGTCCAGAGGGATCCTGAGGCCTTGATAGGTTGGTTTTGTGAAAGAAAAGTAGCAGCATAAGGCCAGGAAATGAAAACACTTTAAAGTGGGAGCTGTCCAATGCAGCCCACCTAATACTGCAGTACAGAGCAGCAGGGGTCCTTTACTACTGAGCACACATTCCACTGAGCCTGGGGCTTATGCCAGACAGAGTCCTCCTAAAGGAAAGAGATGAATACTATTGAATAAGAGACCTAGTCTTTCAAGGTGCCAAGTGGGCTCAATTCCTGCAGCCATCAACGGGGGTTTAGTTCTGGGGTGGAAGTCCACAGCGTGCAGGATCCTGCCCTTGGTCTGAAAGCCGCTTGGAGTTCAGGACCCTCCTCTTTGTTAAGTCAATTGAACAGCATTTGGCTGGGACATGTGATGAACGGCATAAGAAGAGCCATAGGCCAGCATGCACTGTAAGCAGAACCTTGGGAATCTAGGCCAGCGCCTGCTTTTACTTCTAGTTTAGTGGTGACCTGCGAGGGGGACTGGGCTTGTGTCCTTTTCTTTCTTCTTTATGATGGAGAAAGAAAGCCTGAAAGGTTTAAGATACAAATCTGTTTGTTTTTGCCCTTAGAAATCCAGACCCTCTCCATGATGAAAGACTTTGCGGTTGGCTGAAGAACTAGTGAAATGGTGATATCACAGGAGCCAACAGAATGAAAGCAGACCAACTGGGGGAAGAGGTTTTGGTTAGACTATTTACAACAGTGTTATTGGTTAGCTGTTATTAACACCTGGATAATTTCAGTGGCAATGGACACTTGGGCGACAGGAAGCCATTATTACTGATTAAGGAGTTCAGAATTCACAGTAAACTTCCCTGGGATCCACTCCAAAGGTCCCACATCAAAGAACACAAGAGTTAGACCAAGATCCATCCAGGGCAAGGCCCTGTCTCTGACAGGGGCCAGCCCCAGTTGCCTCAAAGGAAGATGTAAACAGGGGTGGCAAGTTATATGGGCCTGTGGTGCCCGTGCTCCAGGAATATTCAGGGCCCGGGGGCCCAGTTCCACCAATGTTCGGGGCCGGGTCTCTCCCCCGGCCGTGCCTGCTGCCCTGCATGCCTCCCCCGGAGCATCTCCCAGCCCCGCCTGCTGCCCCCAGGTGATTTAAAAGGGCTGGGGGCCCCCGGCCACCGCTGCCACCACTGGCAGCGCAGCGGGGCTGAGGCGACTTCCTGCTCACCCTCGCTCCATGCCACTCCCAGAAGCAGCCGGCATGTCCCTGTGGCCCTAGGGGTGGGGGGTATCTCCCTGCACTGCCCCCGCCCCGAGCGCTGAATCCGCAGCTCCCATTGACCAGGAACTGTGGCCAATGGGAGATGCGGGGGTGGTGCCTGCAGGCAGGTGGCGCGTGGAGACCCCCAGACCCCCACCTAGGTGCCACTGCCAGAGGGGTGCGGGTTGCTTTCGGGAGCCGCCCGAGATAAGCACTGCCCCCTCACCCTCTCCCGCACCCCAACCCCCCGCCCCAGCCCAGAGCCCACATCCCACACCCAAACTCCCTCCCAGAGCCCGCCCCCCGTCCCTCCTCCTGCACCCCAACCCCCTGTCCCAGACCAGAGCCCGCATGCCACACCCAAACTCCCTCCCAGAGCCCCCCTGTCCCTCCTCCCGCACCCCAACCCCCCGCCCCAGCCCAGAGCCCACATCCCACACCCAAACTCCCTCCCAGAGCCCGCCCCCCGTCCCTCCTCCTGCACCCCAACCCCCTGTCCCAGACCAGAGCCCGCATGCCACACCCAAACTCCCTCCCAGAGCCCGCCCCCCGTCCCTCCTCCTGCACCCCAACCCCCTGTCCCAGACCAGAGCCTGCATGCCACACCCAAACTCCCTCCCAGAGCCTGACCCCTCACCCCTCCCGCGCCCAAACTCCCTCCCAGAGCCTGCACCCCGCACCCCCTCCCGCACCCAAACTCCCTCCCAGAGCCTTAGGCAGGTGTGTCGGGGGGTGGAACTTGGACCCATTCTGGGCACCACCAAAAATTATACAAACCTGCCGCCCCTGGGTGCACACACCTCACGGTAGCAGCTGTGGGAAAATCTGCCCCCACATCAGGTCTCGGCCTGGTCTCTCCTACAGTAGAACATCAGAGTTTACGAACTGACCAGTGATCCACACACCTCATTTGGAAGCAGAAGTACACAATCAGGCAGCAGCAGAGATAAAATAATACGTTTAACACAATACTGTGTTAAACGTAAACTACTAAAAAAAAAGGGAAAGCAGCATTTTTGTTCTGCGTAGTAAAGTTTCAAAGCCGTATTTTGAAATAACAACCATAATGTTTTGTTCAGAGTTACAAACATTTCAGAGTTATGAACAACCTCCATTCCCAAGGTGTTCGTATCTCTGAGGTTCTACTGTAGTTAGAAACTGGCTTCAGCCCTGAAGCACGGGCGGGGGGACTAATATCCCTTCCAGCATTCTCATTAGCATGAGAACTCTGGGTGTTTCTCATGTCCATATAACTGTCCAACCCCATTCTGAATCTTGCTAAATCCTTAAATGACTTTTTGTAGCAGCGAGTTCCACCGATTAATTATGCATTGTGTGAAAAAGTATTTTGTTTGATCAATTTTGAATATCACACCTTTTAATTTCATCATATGGCCCCTTGTTCTTGTGCTGTAAGACAGGGAGAGCAGAAGATCCCGATTTCCCTTCTCCAGACCATTCATTAGTCTGATCTGTCTCCTCGCTAAGGTAACAATCCCAATCTTTCCAATCTCTTTTCACATGAGAGTTTTTCCAGTCTCTGTTCATTCTCATCACCCTTGCCCTCTGAAACCCTCCACTTCCACAAAATCCTTTCTGAGAGGGCTGATCAGAGCTGCACCATGTCCAGGGGAAGCTGCACCAACTGAGTTCTATAATGGCATTATAATAGCTTCTGTATTATTCTCAGTGCCATTCTATATGCATCTTGTTTGCTTTTTTGACCACAGTTGTATACTGAACTGAGGTCAAATTTAATATGCATATCTTTCTAACAAATCTGCTCTAGCTCAGTTCTAGAGCAGTGTGATTCTGGAACAGCCTTCCAAGAGGAGTAGTGGGGCCAAACAACGTCACTGGTTTTAAAATGTAGATTGATACATATATGAATGGGATTATCTGACAGGGTTGGCTGCGATAGCTGGGGACAGGAGTCAAAGACCCGGAAGGTCCTTTCCAGTCCTATGTTCTGTGTTCTTATGTTCCAATAAGAAATCATGGGTTTGATGCAGGACTCACTGAGTGACATTCTCTGGCTTGTGTTATACAGGAACTCAGATTAGATGATCATAATGCTTCCTTCTGGCCTTAATACTTGTGAATCCATGAATTCCTGGATTTCTAAGGTAAATGCAAGCAACAAGAAAAAACCCTCTTTGTTTTTTCCAGCCATCTGCCTCCACCAGAAAGAAGCTAGAACAGGACACAGCTGATTTTGAAGAATTCATTTGCAGGTCACTGAAAACATCTTAAGATTCCAGAAATGTTAGCTGGGGCTCTCCTGAGCATTTACTGTCCCAGGTGCTTTCCCAGGGACTCCAGTGTGCGTCTCACTATGCCAGGTGATGATGATGGCAATGATCATGATGAGGAAGGCAGGAGGAGGACTCCTGCTGGCTAATGGATTAAGAGGACAGTCTCTCATTTCTCCATGATTCCCATGCTTTCCAGAAAGATGCTTAGAGAGGCTTTGAAACATGCACTGTAAGTGAGCTACTGAGCACAGTTATAGGGCTGGCCTTATAACTACTTTGATAATTAAGCTAGGACTGAAGTGATGAATGAGGAATCCAATAACACTTCCAGGTAACGTAATGGATTCTGAGAAGATTCTCAGCCCCAGCTCTTTCCTGGAAATGCTAGCAGAATCTGGAATGTCCTCACTGCTCCTCCAGCTAGATCCTAGGATAGGCAAAATTACAAGTTGTGCCCACCCTGGCCTCAGCTGAAGGACAGTTAATTGCCAAGTGGCAGGGACCCTCAATTCCCATTGCAGTCAGTGGAAGCATCTTGCAGGGTCAGGACCTAAGAGAGCTCCTGCAGTGTAGAAATGGAAGAGAGTATCCTGTGCTTAAGTTTAAGCTTAAATAAGAGTATTCAGGGTTAGTGAAGTAGGCTGGCCTGACTTTGACCTAAGTGAGGAAATGAAAAAGGCAGGAGCTATTTGGCTATATAATGTCATCTCTTCAGCTTTTAGTCTCACAGGTCTGCCCATTTCCAAAACATTTCCAAAAGCCTCCAAACTCCCACAGGTTTGTGACCATGCCAAAATACCAGTTTATGTCTACCCAGCAGGCTCTCCAGATAACGAACATTGGACACAGGGTTGGAATGAATAAGTCCATGCCCCCAGAGTGTCTTCTGATCAGTGTGTGCTGTCTGTGCCTTAAAAGGAGAGAGCAGTGGTGGTTTTGTGTGACCACAATATGGTAATGTGGGCGGGGAGCAGGCAGGAGGGGGCATCATGGAGGTTACCAGCACATTTTGTTTCTCAGTGTGGGGCAGACTAGGACTGTTACTCCACTACCTGCTCAGAGATACAGGAAATAAGTCACTGATTCCAGTTCTTGTTCATTTCCTGAATGTTTTGTCCACTCTGGCTCTCTGTAGTATGCAGATGAGTTCATCTTTCATTAAACAGAATGTTCGTACACATCTTGGATCTCCTCCTTGGATCCTGCATTCAAAAAAGAAAACATAAGTCACAGGTATTCCAGCCCCCAAGGCCCAGCTCCAACGGGGTCTTGATCCAGAGATAATACGGAGAACAACAAATGCCCCCAGGTTCCTGCCAGCATGTCCTGGGGGAACCTTCCTGTCCCCACATGCATAGTCAGTCTAGCCTTCCCAGGTAATGAATAGTCCAAGCTACAACTAAGGATAAAACAAAAAGTGCTCTTATAAGTACCTGGTTCACTCAGAACTTTTTGAAACCACTTACCATGGATGTGACACTTTCCAGGCTTTGCGCCAGCATCAAAGGGGTTTCGGTTGTTGGTGTTTTAGGGAGGCTGAGTTTGTTTTAATTTGAATAAAATATATTCAGCCATTTTTGGATTATTAGTGATTGACAATAACAATTATTGTATACCCAGAGTGCCCCGACCACACCCTCCATGCCCTGGGCTGTACAGCAGAGTAAACTTGACTGCAGTACAAGGAGTACACAAGTTCTTTGGGTGCGGGTGCAAGCGGGTGTGTTGTGTGTCAAGAATGTACTGGGGGAAGCTACATGGAAAGTTGTGTAATTGTTTCTGAGTTGACAATGAAGTCAAGCCCCAGCAGAGGCAGAGTTTGAGCATGAACTCCAGGCTTGCGTGCTCTGCTGAGGTAGTGATAGGGTCCGACAAGTGCCTTTCTCTCTGAATTATCCAGGCACTGCATGGTTTACATAGACATGTTTCAGCCTATGGTCTGCTCACAGACTATTTGCCAGGACTATCGCTTCAAATATTCACTATTTCTGCTGTGTGACTAGGCACATAAATCACATGGGATCGTTTCTCCCCCCTCACTGAGTGACTCGCAAATCATAGAAGATTAGAGTTGGAAGAGACCTCAGGAGGTCTTCTAGTCCAACCCCCTGCTCAAAGCAGGACCAATACCAACTAAATCATGCCAGCCAGGGCTTTGTCAAGCCAGGCCTTAAAAACCTCTAAGAATGGAGATTCCACCACCTCCCTAGGTAACCCATTCCAGTGCTTCACCACCTTCCTAGTGAAACAGTGTTTCCTAATATCCAACTCAGACCATCCCACAAGGCGCTCTCACAATAGATACACAAGTATGTCCAGAACAAATGCACATCTGTACGAGTCTTTACAACATTCTCCTTGCCCCAAATTTATTAAGAATGAAAGGAAACAGTTGCTTGTCTGAATATTTGTGGAAAGTTAATACAAAAGGTTGTGAAACCTATCACATCAAATTCAGTGTCTACAAATACTTCATTGCTTTGGAAATGGGACCAGACAGATTAGAAATACAGGCAGAAAATAAGCAAATAAATTTAGCTTGAAAAAAGAAGGTGCTAGATTTGGGAAGATTAATCCCAAACAGTTGCGATGCAGAAGGACTGTTCTGTCTCTGCATATATGTACATAAATAGGTAATAGATAAGGTGCCAGTAGGTAGTGCTCAAAAATATGTAGCACTGTTCCTGGGTTTTGCAGGACCAATAAAACCTGTTGTTAAGCACTGCAGATTGTTTCTCATGTGTAATATTTAAATGCAGTTCGCAATGTGGAGTTAAAAAGTTTTTACTTGTCTAATTCTACTTTGTGGCTGACCAGAGGCCCTGAGTCACTTTGGCAAAGGCCGTGAGCAACATTCCACGCCCGTCTGCAATGCCAGTGCATGAGGCTGTCTGTGAAGCAAGCATTCTGCAGCCTCGTGGACAAACGCTGAAGCAGCTGCAAGGCTAACATGCTGCAGTGTCCCATTAGTGTCGTCCCAGGACAGTGAAGTGTCCACACACAGTCCAGCTTCACAAACCAGACCAGGAAATAACTGAAACACTGTTAAGTGCTTCTGCTTTGGTCAGAATCAAGTGATAAGCTGCAGCTATTACAAGTGATGGATGATGTAATGATCTGCAAGGTAGCAGACAGTTCCAGCAAATAATCAATATGGGGATTTTTGTAAAGGTCTTGGATTTTCCTGGAGAATATCACTTGGAAATCAGTCCTAAGCTGAAACTGCTACATGCACCACACAGTGAAGAAAGAACTTAAATACTAGCTTGACAACTTTGTGGAGAGGGGAGTCTAAAAGAAAGTGAAATGATTGACAGACTGGACACCAGTCCAGTAGCTATTAAAATACTAGACAAACTCTGGTATTCACCCCATACACCTCAGTGAAGCTCTAAAACACTCCCATTGTACTTTCTTAGCCACTGGAGGGATCCTGCCCAGCCTCACAAGGGAGCTGTTCTGTTCAGACACCACAGATGGCTTCTGGCAGGTAAAACGTGATCAGAAAGCAGCTCTTTGACAAACATCTGGACTTCTTTAGGCAGATATAAATGGCAGGGAAGGCCATTTGGCATTTCTCTGTCTCCAGAAGAGCACCAGGGATGTCACCACAAAGTGCTAGAGGGACTCACAGAATTGATGTAATTGCAAATGGCATATAAGGACTTGTCTACACAGCGCCACAGTGTGGACTCTGGGGGTGTGAATTGCAGTGCACACTAAAAATTTGTACTGTAACTGCCCCATGTAGACCCTGCTGGCATGAACTAAAATGTACCTTGTTTGCATTAACATAGTCCTGTTTCAAGCAGGACTATTTTGGCTGTAGCGGATTGGTTGTGGAGACGCCCTCGCAGACGCTAATGCTGATCATGATCATATCCTGATTGCACTGTTCAACAGAGAATTTCTAGTGAGCCTGAAACTGAATAATAAAAAGTGAGTCTGTGCCTGTCAGCTGTGCCATGTATCAGACACCTTTGAATAACAGAAAGCTGAAAACCAGACCTGAGACGCCTCAGGAGGTTTTGGAAATGGCCATCCAGAATGTCTGGATGAGAAGGAAGAGTATTTTTAGTATTCAGGAATATTGGAAATACTTAGAAGAAAGAGAATCAACTTCATGAAAGCTTCTGCTCAAATAAATTTGTTAGTCTCTAAGGTGCTACAAGTCCTCCTTTTCTTTTTGTGAATACAGACTAACACGGCTGCTACTCTGAAACCTGCGCAGTAACTGGAGTTCTTCGAGCTGTGTTGTTCACATATGTATTCCCCTCAAGATGTATATGCATCCATGTGCTCTCAATTGGAGATTTTTGCTAGCTGTGTCTGTTAGTCTGTGCATGTGCCCTGAACACCCTCGTGCCCCGTACCAAGGGCATAAGGGGTGGAGTTGGACCAACCGCCACTTCAGTTCCCTCTCTACTTCAGACCTGCAAGGTGTAATAGGATGTTGAAGCAGAAGGGAAGGTGGGAGGGTCATGGAATAGACATATGAATAGCACATTCCAAAGAACTCCAGTTACTGTACAGGTAAGTAACTTCCCTTTCTTCTCAAGTGATTGTCCCTATGTATATTCCACTCAAGGTGATTCCTAAGCAATGACCTGAATAAGGAGGTGGGAGCTTGGAGTCTTAACCAAGCAGAGGCCTTTGCTGAAAGAAGCATCCATTCTAGATGCCCCAAGTGGTAGCTTTACAAATGTCTGCAATGGGGACATTTTATAAAGAAGCACCTAAAGCTGCCAGAACTCTCATGGAATGTTCCCTATTATTTGGTCATTATAATTTGACTGCCTTGTAGCACAAATTGATGTACTACAAAGCTCATTTCATCAGCCTCTCTGTTGATATGGGGTTTCCCTTCATCTTTTCAGCACAGAAAACAAACAGTCTTGGAGAAGACCAAAAGGGTCTGGTCCTTTGAAGATAAAATGCAAAGGGCCTTTTAATGTCTTAAGTGTAATTTGGCTTCACCACAGTTAGTATGAGGGTCTGAAAAAAATATGGGCGCACGGATGACCTGCTTTAGATACAACTCAGACACAGGTTTTGGAATGACCTTTGGATACGGTCTCTACGATACCCGATCTGGACAAAAAATGCACACTGGGGTCCGCCATAGGAGCACCTAGTTCACCTACCTCCTTGCAGATGTTATTGCAATGAGGAAGGAAGTTTTCATGGATATGTGCTGTAAATAGCATGTAGTCAAAGGTTAAAAACAGGGACCTATAAGGCCTGATCAGACTACATTTAAACCCCAGGGGTTCCTGCATGGGGGAAATACTCTCACTTTTAAAAATCTGGTAGTGATAGGATGGGAAAACACAGCGTATTCCTCTACAGGGCACTAACAGCAGCGTGGTACTCCCGGAAAGAACTGATTGAGAGACCTGTGTTCTTCAGGAACAGTATATACTATCTACGCGAGATCAAAGGAATTTTGGCATCCAAAGTCATTAGGTGACGTTCACACCAAACAACAAATATTTTCCACTTTGAATTATTAAGTCTTTTTAGTGAAGACTTTCCTGCTATTGATTAGTATGTTGTGTAGTTCAGAAGAACATTTACTTTTTCTACTTCTGACATCTATCCAAAGCCCCTGCAGTTTCATGGAGGGTGTGTAGGTTGGGATATTGGATTAGATTGTTGTTCTAAGATACTAGGTCTGGATCTAATGGTAGAAGTATTGGTGGCAATTGAATGCCATGTGAGTTATGGGAAGCAATACTGTCTTGGCCATAGTGGAACTGTCAAGATAATCTTTGCTGCATCCTGCCTGGCTTTCCGGAGCACCCTGGGAATCAAAGGAACTGGTGGGAATAGATGTACCTGAGCATCTGAACATGAAATGAGCAACGCATCCCCTTGGGACCCCACACTGAATCCCCATATGGACTAGAAAGGTGGACATGTCTTGCCCTCGTGCATTGCAAACAAGTCAATTGAGGAGAGACCCCACCTTTTGAAGATGAACTGAATCACTGAATACTTTATTTCCTGTTCATGTTCTGTCAAGGATTTCTTGCTCAGATCTATCTGCCACCATGTTCTGTAATCCTGATAAATGGATAGCTGTGACTGTAATGTGATGCTGAATGCACAAGTTCCAGTGTTGCACTGCTTCTCTGCACAGGGTTGATGACAAATCCCCTCCCTGCCTGTTACACAAAGCATGGAAGTTGTATTCCCTATC